ACAGCTTCCTTGTGGAGAGCTCTAATAGACGGCCAAACGCTGCGGCTGGGTTCAGAAGCGTGGCTCAGACGCAATCGCAGATAAGGGGGATAGAGGCGCAAGGAGTGCAGTATTTATAGGACGCGGTTACGAGATAACCATATGTCTAATCCCATTAGCAGTTGGGCATGTGATGATGGTTCGTTAGGCGGCGTTCGAGGCGTTAATCACCGAAATATCGGTTTTTGGCTAGACATCTATCCCTTACCTGCCACTGTCTTTGTTCCTGTTCTTCTCGTTCCAGCGATCGCATCTTCTTCCGAACCACTACCTAGAGCTCACGTCTTCGCTTCTATCAGCAAACCACTTTAATCTCATTTTAGGTCTGAACCGCCGCACAGGAATAAGGAAAGATTAGACGACCTACCAGCTTCGCATTCTTCTTGCTCACTGAGAGGGCCGGATAAGCAACGAGAGAGAAGGCATCCACTGCAACAGTGTGCCGGACGACAGTCCTAAAATGGCAAGCGCACACAAATTAACTTTTTTTGCCGTGTACTGTCAAGATAAGTTCTCCTGCGTATAATAAACCACCTACTTCCTACGATGGAAGTATGGTTGAAACACTAAACGCGCAAAACACCACCAACAAATCGAACATGAAGCGATAAATACGGCGTCACAGACTTCTTATAAGAAAAATCCTACAGACTACCACAGACTGAAGACGGTATTTGGCCTGTACAGTTGCACAGTAAATGGACCCCTCCAAGCACACCTTTTTCTCTCTTGAGGACGTCCTTCGCAACTACCATTAAGAAAGCAGCCTGGTCCAAAAGGTAAGCTGATAAAAATAGGCACACATGCGTGAGAGGTGGAACAGTTAACGTTAACTACCTCTCACATATATGGTCGTATGCTAACAGCAGGCAAAATGAAGAGATCTGGAAGTAGTTTGGAGGGATACAAAATAAGAACGCCGCGTTGGAACGCCTATATACGTTGACCCCTAGTGGGGGCGATAACTTCAAATCCAAAACACAAATTAACCATTAGTGCGCAGACCATACAGACTTATGCAAGGTGAGTTGTGCCAGGTAAACAGCAGTGGACTGTGAGCCAATTTTCAGCACCTTTGGTTTGCAGTTAAATGGGATTGGTCTCGGAAGTCGCATGATATGGCGCCCATACAGACTAAGAGACGTGCTTCAAGGAGGCACTGAGAGGAGACTCGATCGCGTTTCCTTTTCATTGTGTACCTTTTGCGAGATTCCAATCATTAAAAGGGCTTGAATAGGGGATGAGACGTTGACAGTATGAGGGGACTAAGTATTTCGGATCGACAAATAGCAGTACAGTTTGAGAACACCGGGAAGAAAGTTCGGGGACGAAGTTTGTCTATTCTACTGTCCGAGTCGATGTAGGTTCAATGCATGTCGCAGGTGCGATATAAGAAAAAGATAAAAGCAAGTTCGTGAGTCTAAATCTATAGGTCAATGGTGAAGAGTACTGTGAGAACACAAGGTGTAGGACTCGAAGATTTGTTGCCATAAGATGACAAAAAGGATCCCCACTAAGCGGGACTAAATGAGATCCACCCAATGACCAGACCTGAACCAAATACAATACACGACAGTATGGAAGACAATGGTATTTAACTAGATAAGCAGGCTTGAGAGTTACTTGGATCTAAGTCCGAAATGCCATAGCAGTTATAAGCGCTAAGCAACTAATCGGAAGTATGTCGCGGACAGTTAAATATGAGTTACTGAACTCACCTTTGGCTTTGTCAAAAATGATATTGTCAATTATCGATCAGATTTTGAAGTACTGACAGGATACGGCAGTCAGGTTATTTGCTCAAAGGTCAGTGGAGCCATAAGACTGAATAGTACGACCGATAAGCAGGTTTTACAGTTTTTACGCACAGAAGTTGGTACAGGTTGTATAGGCCATTCTTACAGTAAGTCCCACACAACATTATAGATGGTAAGACAACAGTCCTAATAGCAATAGCTGATCATGACGTGATACCGGAAAGATAATATACAAACACGGAGTTGGTAAAGCTAACTTACACCTAGTCTGCTTAAACATTGTAAAAATTTCACGAATGCGCATTAATTTGCGAAGTATTAGTGGCATGAAAGTGCTATTGACGACAGACTGAGCGATTTCATCAATGAAATCCCCTTACTCGACATACGAGAACAGTAAGGCTATCTGACGTGTTTGGCTACACTAGCCTAACATCCCGACTAACACAGAGTGAAGACACTTAAGATGGTATTCAGGTCCGCCACCGATACTTTGATCGAGAACTTGACTAGGAGAGGGAGAAAAGCATGCCTGAGACGTAATTGAAAAAAGAGCCCAGGGCGCTGCGTTAAATAAATGCCCATCTGGCAAAAGCCGATATCAAAGAAATCGCTTTGGAATTTAGAGGAACCGCGACTATCGGCAACAAAAATGCTTTCCAACTTTCGAAGAATAGCCGACCTGGTTCGTTTACTCGTAAACACGAATAGGATGCAATGAGCATATAAAAATTATATCAAGGAGGTCCTGGAGGCTAGTGGTATGCTAAATGCAAGTCAAACTCAAAGGTCAGCGTAGTAAAAAGCAAGGTACTACTCAATAGTCAGAGGGGTGTAGGGCGCATGCTTAAAACCTAGTCTCTGATAGACCAGTTTTCGCCAGGAAATGAAGCCGAAATGGTGCACTTAAGGAAATATAAAAGATGTTCAGAATAACTGTATGGAAACGTAGCTTAGGCGCGTTAGCACCCCAACAAATTGAAGTTGATCGACAAATAATCCTTCTGAGGCATACTGCGAACTTTTCTAATGGAGTATGCGCGGTTCATTCCAACAGCTCGAATTTTTCATGGAAAGTGAGGCTAGAGTAACAGGTCTGATGAGTTGGGACTATGTTTTATCGTCTTGTTGGTCAGTCGGAAAAGTGATGAGGTCAGGCTCAAGTGAGATTTAAAGGATGAAAAACCAAGGGTAATATTACAGAGGCCTACTTCCCGAATGCAGGGCTGTCTTAAAATGCGCAATGCAGTCGGTCAAGGTGACAAAATCGACCTTATTTTGAACTTTTGAGAGACATGTCGATACCGAGAACTTGCGGTTGACAAAAGTTGGTTCAATGGGGAAACATTACAAGAACACAATTTTATTGTAGGCAGAAAGGTTGAGACTTAACTAATTTACATGTTCGTTGTACTTTTCTTAAATGAAGACATGTGCATCCGTAATTTCATAAGAAAACTCATCTTCACTTGTGGCACTAATCCCAAGCGTCTAACATTATACGTGAAACGAAACTTTTGCTCCGTCAGCGGTCCGTTTCCTAAGTGAAGTCTTTTACTGCATGGTTGGTTCTATCCTTATGATAATGACTGCTCCTACAACCGCGAAGCTTAACCAAGGACCGTAAGTACGCAGAGGGCCAAGATGCAGGAGTGAGTAAGATAATTATTGTAAAATTACGCAGAAAAAAAACAAAAAATAAATGTCGATGCAATATTAAGATCCTGCATGCCAGCTTAGAAAAATAAAATACAAGTAAAGGTCAAATCACGTTTTTAAATCCAAAAATAATCTCACAAATGAAACTCCGGTAGGCAGCACTGCGTAAAGCAAAGACACGAACCGGCTTGGTCAAAAAGGCTAATAGGATAGTTTCTTTAAAAAATCAAAAAATACGCTAACTTTAGAGACAAACATGGCAGAGCCCAGAAGCTTAGAATTCCGTCGGCTATCAGGTTGAACCCGACATTTTTAAAGTGTGAGTAAAAAACACATCTTTTGTCATAATAGTAGGTTTAAAAACCTTGAATTGCTGGGTGGACCGCCAGTCGTGCAGTACATCAACGCGTATAACTAAATTTGCGGACAGCCTGTCCAAATTCTAACCCTGAGGAACAGACCTCGTACCTTTGTTTATCGCGGAGAAAAAGATGCGAAGGAAGGTACATATTTTACATGCATACTGGACATAATTTGACTAAAATAAGTAGTCAGTCAAGGTTCAACTACAGTTTGGGAAGTTGCTTGGTGGGTTTTGATAAAAAGCAGAAAAGGCATCCGACTTTTTAATCGGAGGTTGCCTCCAGTAACACTCTGGTCCATTGGGAATTAGCTGCAAGCGGTCGAAGGCAAGGAAACCTGTTGAAAATGAAAGCCTGCTTGTGTTGATTGACAAACATTTCTAATGGTCGGTGAGCTCAACAGTGGTATTGTACACCCCACAGGCGCTATGGTTGGGGGCCGCGATAACTTATTCTTCAGACTCAGTACACCTATTTCGCGACTAGCCGTCACTGGATGTTAATCCACTATCCGTCACAAGTGGAGTTGTGCAGCTGATATTTTCATTACGGACTTGGTCGCAATGACCACCTCTAAAGACAGCGGAATTGTTTAGAATCCGTATGTAGACCTGCACAACCACTTGTTTCGCGGAATTCGTCTGAGCCCTAATATGTACATTAGGTCCCGTGGGGAAAAATGAAGCCTTATGATCTGCTTAACAAAAATGCATCTGTGGTGGGAGCTTATCACCACTGAAGGTTTACATGCATTCACGTAAACAAGGTTTGCCGGAATGGGACGAGAGCGTACTCGGTTGCCAAATCATGAACGGGGTAATTGGAAAGACTCCAGACGGTTCTCACTACGACGAACTAACGCACAGACAACCTTAACAGACAACGGTCCGCGGAATTAGTTGGGATAAGTGGTTTAAACCATATTTTTGTACTAGTTTTTGCTTTGACTGGACGCTCTCGCAAAAGACGTTTACCGGACTTGTCGAAGAATAGTTATATGGGGATAGGCTTTTGTTACAAGCCTAGCGATTTCTGGCAGAAATGTACTGTACTTACTGGCCCTTCGGGAACGGTTTAGAAAACAGTTTCAAGATGTTATCACATCGGGAATCTGGTACGCTATTAGTAGGCACCTTGAAACATTAAACACAGGTGACCGGCAGTCCCCAAACGAAAAAAATCATTCTTTGAATGTGAGCCAACAAACTTGCAAGGATTTCTGGGTTAGTTTGACCATAGGCGTCTGAGTGGTGGAATGTGCCCCCTAAAGTGCGTTACGGCGAGGAAATGACACTGAAAAATGACCGGCTGACATAGTAAAAAAACCCATTTCTATCGACCAGAACGAAGTACCTTCTGAGATAGATGACCGACGGCTAGGAGAATTGGGTAGTTTCTAACACTGTCATATCAAGTGAGTGGCAAATCAATATAAAGGACATAATATCATCATCGAAATCTATTATGTTCACATGGCCTTGGAGTTGCGATCCTACCACCGCTAAGCAACACAGTGCACATATCTCGCGAACCAATTGGCCATGGAAACCGCAACCATGTCAGGAAATGTCAGTCCGACAATAGTCGAACGCTATTGTATTCTTTGTGTATTTATCCATGGTTTTCCTTCCTTAAGCCCAGATTTCTCTTAATAACATACGTGGTAAGTCAAACTGCAGAGCACAACGGTCTTAATGAGCACATAGCGACACGAACTTCGTGTCTTTTGTTACAATAGTTATAAGAGCACATTCACCTTGATACTCTCGTTCTCTGGGCTGCAGGCACCAATATTAATTATATGGGTACTTACCATTCTTTGTTCTCAGGATGGGCTTTATATTCTAACTTCTCATAGGCCTTGATCACACCGCGAAGATCCACATTGTTAGACTCTAGGACCATATACTGTTTACGAGGATTTATTATAGTAGA